ACATTCCTTTGTTTGAGAACAAAGGACTGTCCAAAGTGGTGAATACTGGTTCACATAAATTAGTGACAGCATATCTTTTCAGAGCAATCCAGTTTTAGAAATCAAATCTCACTTCAGCCATATATTTCAGTACTGCTTTCTCAAACGGTTTCACACACAGCGTTTGAGTTAACAGCTTTGAGTTGAAAGAGGACAGAAGGCTACTATTTGTACCTAATGGAAGACCTGCAGTGGTGGGTACATAGTGCATTGCAGTTTGAGTCTCAGGCATTTTTGCTGCTTTGTCTCTCATTTCCACTATGCTCTCCTTCCTCATCACTTCAGGCTCCCATGACCTCTTTTGGATTGGTGGTTCAGGTCAGGAAAGTCCAAAATTTCCATTGCAAGTGATAAGCCAAAACAGTCATTAAATCAGGAAGGGGGTAGTGGTGATGAAGATATAGAGATACAATCATCCCCCTTCTTTTTTATTTATTTTTTTATTGTGGTAAATATATACATAACAAAACATTTGCCATTTCAACAGTTTTTACATGTGCAATTCAGTGATATTAATTACGTTCATCTTGTCGTTCAACCATCACCACTACCCATTTCCAACATTTTCCATCACTCTTAACAGAAGCTCAGTGCCCCTCCTGCCCCTGGTAACAATTAATATCCTTTGGTCTCTATACATGTACCTGTTCTAGAAATTTCATATAAGTGGGATCACACAATGTTTCTCCTTTTTTCACCCAACATAATGTTTTCAAGGTTCATCCATTTTGTAGCATGTATCAGGACTTCATTTCTCTTTATGGCTGAGTAATATTCCATCGTATGTACCACATTTTGTTTATTCATTCATCTGTTGATGGACACTGGGTTGTTTCCACCTTTTGTCTATTGTGAATAGTGCTGCAATAAACATTGGTACACAAGTATCTGTTTGTGTTCCTGCTTTCAATTCTTTTGGGTATATACCTAGGATTCGGATTACTGGGTCATATGGAAATAGTATGTTTAACTTTTGAAAATATCTAATTCTAGTATCTGTTCCTTTATGTGTTCTAAACCTTAGTACAGAGTTCTTTATGTGATAAACCTGAAATAGTACAGTTTGGAGACTTGGATTCCTGTTTGTTCTGAGAATCCTCATCACCAGGGCTCAGTAAAACTGCTCCCAGTCCAAGCAACGACTGTCATGCACTGCTTTGCAGACGCCCTCCTTTCTTTTCTTGATGACCTTAATTGAATTTTAGAAGTTTGTGACTAATTAATGTTTTGTTTTTCTGAGTGCACCAAGCTGTGGGTATATTTTAAGTAAAATTTAATTGGCAAACTGGGTTCCAAACCTTCCAAAGGGCATTTAGTTTATCTCCCCATGAATAGGAAGTTCTTTAAACAATATCATCATAGTGTTTTAGACTCAAAAGGGATCTTGCAATTTATGCAGTCCAACTCCTTCCTTTTACCAGATAAGGAAAAGTAACAATAAAGAGAGATTAAGTGATTGCTGAAAATCATACAGTTGGTAGTGGTCAGGCTATGAATAACCCAGCTCTTCTAATTTTTAATGCATTGTTTTTGTTTGTTTTGCTTTCCAATAGACTACTGTATAATTTTTTTAAATAATTTTTGAACCACAGCTAATTTTAAGTAAGTTTTATGGAAGGCCCAAGGCCGTGCACAGACTTTAGATGCACGATGGACTTGAAAATAATTTTTTATTGAGTTCAACTTCATTCCCTTAGAAGGGAGGTTGCCCAGTCATGAAATAGTGCAGCTGTCAATAGAGGCAATTCAGTGTTGAGGCAGGATCGCTTGGTAGGAAAAAAGACCATTGACTGCTGTGTGTTTGGGGGGAAGGTATTTGAAGAAATCTTACATGGGAGAGGCCAAGAGCACTTTTTTGTTTAGCATTTGAGACTTTCTTGGTACATTTATTATTTTGTGTGTGTGTGTTTTTTTTTTGAGAGCCAAGTTTTTTTTATCTGCTCACTGCTTGCATTTGAAATAGTCTTGGAGGATATCCTTGGCCTGAGGTTCTTTGCCATAGTCCTTAACAAGCACACAACTGCAACCAATCACTTAAGGAGTTTCCCAGTGAGCCCTGGTAGTGCGACAGTTATGCACTTCAAGGCTAATCAAAAGGTTGGTAGCGCGAACCCACCCAGCCATTCAGTGGGGGAGAGACCTGGCGATCTGCTTCCATAAAGATTACAGCCTAGAAAACCCTATAGGGCAGTTCTACTCTGTCACGTGGGGTCACTGTGAGTCAGAATCAACTCAAGGGCACGTAACAACAAGAACAATTTATGTTAGTTTTTCAGAGGTCTACCCATTCTGCAAGGAGCCCTGTTGGTGCAGTGGTTAAAGTGCTCAGTTACTAAGCAGAAGGTCAGTGGTTCGAACTCATCAGCTGTTCCATTGGAGAAAGATGTGGTAGTCTGCTTCTGTAAAGATTACAGCCTTGGAAACCCTATGGGGCAGTTCTAGTCTGTCTAATAGGGTCATTATGAGTCAGAATCGACTTGAAGGCAACGAGTTTGATTTGGTTTGGGAGCCTTTCTGCTAGTTTGTTGTTGTCCTCTACCTTAATCTGGCTGATTTGGTATTCAGCACAAAGGGCCTCTACCGACTTAACATACATAGCCCCATCACAATTGGATGCAAGCACATAAAGATGGGCTTGGTAGTTGTCTAAGGTTTTGGCAGCTTCATAAATTCCACGTGCTAGGCCATCCTGGGTGAGGGCAGTCTTCAACACCTCTTGAAAAACAGAATTGAAGTCCATTTTTACTCCTCCAGCAGAGATGCCTTCTGTGACTGTGCAGCGGGTTACCCATGGAGCCAAACCTCCACCTCTGCACAACTCAGTGGTGATGGAAACTTTTTTTTTTTTTTTTTGATGACAGTGTTTTCTTCTTCTTCTTTTAAAGTCTTTTTTCTTTTTTTTTTTTTTTTAACTTTCAGACTTCCAGTTTAGGCCATTTTCTTGATGTTTATTTGTTGTTGTTCATTTTGCTCACTTACATCTTTCAAGTCTACATGCCCTTGGTTTCCCTTAAGGTGACCCTGATCTCTTTGAGGAACTTCTGGGAGCTTGTCTTTGCCCACATGCAGGCGGCCTGGGGAGCACCAACAGCCCACATCTCCAGCTGGACCTTTTTCCATCATCGGAAGGAGTCTCCCCCGAATGTCTAATCAACACCTGACTTTAAACTCGAAATTGACTTTTGGTTTGGTTTCCTTTCCTATGTAAGCACCCTCTTCCTAATTTACATGTAACTCACAACACAATTACTCCAGTTTTCCCAGCTTACAAACCTGGAGCTGGCTATCTCTCTTATTAATCCCCAATATCAATAGATTGCCAGGGCTTATGAAGAATTTATTTCCTGTGTCTCTAAGATTAACTCTTTTCTTTCTATTTCCATAGCACCTATGATAATTCAGACCTTCATTATCTCATTCATGACTTCTGTAACAGTCCCTGAAAGGAATCTCAGATTTCATTTCATCCCAACAAAACCTCCACTCATCTCCAAAGTGATTTTTCTTATGCATTGTGAATGGATAGAGTTGATATTTAGTGAGAATCTACTATATGCCCGGCATACATCATCTCAATTGATCTTAAAAACCACTATATGAAGTAGGTGTTGTTTTTGTTAGTCAGTATTACTATCGGCAAACTTGTATTGCGCGTTTCCTACGTGCAAAGTACCACGCTAAGAGCCTTATTTGAATTAGTTTAATTTCTCCCAATAATCTCATGAGTAGGTACTACTGTCATCTCCACTCTACAGATGAGAATTGAAGCTTAGAGAGTTAAAAAACCTGCCCAAGGCCACACAGCTTGGGAGTGAGACAACCAGTATTTGTACCTGGATAGTCTAACTACAGAGCCTAGGGGCAAAGTCATTTCTCTACATTGTTATTGTTGTGTGCCGTGGAGTAGATTCTGACTCATAGCAACCCGACATGACAGAGTAGAACTGCCCCATAGGATTTGCAAGGCTAGAAATCTTTACGGAAGCAGACTGCCACATCTTTCTCCCACAGAGCAGCTGGTGGAGTTGAACCACCAATCTTTCTGTTAGCAGATTAGAGCCCCGTTATTATAGATGAGGCATCTGAGGCTCAGAGAATATTTCAGCCCTCCACCTTTCCCCTCAGACTTCTTACATCATCATCATTCCCCTTGCTCTCAGCAGATGACCTTGTTTCCTGGCTTCTACCTTACTTACCCCTTCAATGTTAGCATTCTTCAAGGTTATATCCTTGGCCTTCTTCTCTGTTAAGTCTAAACTATTGACTCTTGACCTCTGTGGTCATGGTCCCCTTTGGAGATTTGATAAAACTTTGGCTTTCTTTCCAGAAAAATGTACACATGCACACACAGATACACACGCGTCCTATAACTTCCAGGGAATCCAAGAGTCTTTTAAAGCCTACACAAGAGCCTAGGCTAGGAACTCATGCTTGTACACATATAAATAAGTTCTAAATGGATTAAAGATCTAAACATAAAATATAAAACAAAATAATAAAAACAGAGTAAAATACAAGAGAATTTGTTTCATATATTCTTGGAGTGAGGAAGGCCTTTCTAAATGTGTCATCAAATCCAGAAGCCACAAAGAAAAAGACTGACAGATTTGACTTTACCCAAATCTTTAAATTCCCTCATGTCTGCCCCAGAGTCCCTGGTTGTGCAAATGGTTAATATGCTCAGCTGCTAACTGGAAAGTTGGAGGTTTGATTCACCCAGAGGTGTCTTGAAAGAAAGGCCTGGTGATCTACTTCCAAAAAATTAGCAATCGAAAATCCTGCAGAGCACAGTACTGCTTTGACACGCATGGGGTCGCTATGAGTCAAAGTCAACTCAACAGCAACTGGCAAAATGTTTGTCCTAGCAGTGAATTCTATAACTTTGTTAAAATCAATATGTTAATCAAGGAGAGCACTGTTTGCAAAGCATAAAATCTCTAAAACATGAACTGTGATCTTACCTCCAGTCACAATCACGTTTGCTTTTGAACAGTAACAAAAAGTATTTGCTCCTCTTGGCATGGAAAACTCTCTGACAGGTCTGGAAAATACAAATTAGATGTAAAACTTGTGTATTTTTTCTTTCTAAAACTAATTCCAAATTATAAATAGGTTATGTTCAATAGGTTCACTTCTAAGTTTTAAAATCCATTTGCCCAAAGAAAATAAGGAATGATTAAGTCCTCACTAACTCACAGAAGTCTATTTAATCCATAATGTGGTTACATTAGTACAACACTTATTGTTTCTGTTTAAAAAACAAATAAGTCCAATCTCCCACCCTGGGGTTGTGGTTGTGTTGGTGGTGAGGATGGGAAGAGATCTATCAGGTCTTAATCCAGAAAGGATATTGGGCGGCTAAAGAGTCCATCTGGTAGCACACAATACCCAAAACACATTTGGACACCCTCCTCTTTCACTGTCCACGTCCAACCTGCTGTCAAGTCCTGTCGATTTAACCTCTAAAATAGATCTGAAATCTGACCGCGTTTTCCCTTTTCCACTGCAATATCTCGGTTCCACCCTCCATCCTCTCTCACAGAACTACAGCAATAAACTGCTAATTTCTCCTTGGTGGTCCCTCTTTCACAATAATCCTATTTCCTCCCATTAACCTGATCTGGTCAGAGCAGTAACAGGTTTCAACCATTGCTAGTCTCTGAGGTAAATATTATCATTATCCTCATTTAGTAAGTAAAGAAACTGAGAACGCGTGTTGGTTCTTTCCACAGGGAGACCAGTAAGAGGAAGAACTGGGGATGGGCAGACTTCTGCACAGGCCCTGCCATCAAGTGGGTGGAGTATAACAGGGAATTGAAGGGTCAACAGGTGATGTGACTTAGAATGTGTCCGGGATTTGAGGTCAGAAGGCCTGGATTCTTGTTGTGTTCTATTGCTAAATATATAACTTTAGAGAAGTCACTTAATCTTTCTGAGCTGTAGTTTCCCCATTTATAAAATCAAGGATTAGATATGATCTACCTAGCTTCTTTCACTTTGAAGATCTTAGGCTTTATGCCTCCTTCATAGCTGTGGCTGGGGAGAGGTCAAGCAGGGCCACCACATAGTCTACTTGAATGGTGTCCCAGAGCTGTAGGGTGTATATCCTGCACAAGCATTTGAAATGGGCCCAGAGTTGGGACTAGGGTACATGAACAAGGCCTCTAATAACTGGTTGTACTTTCTGGGTAGTAATGTAGCATTAGGTGTGAAGGAAGACGTGAAATCAGAACAGGCTGGTGGATTGTGGGAGAAAGAGGTCTAGATTTAAGAATTTTGGGAAGGTTGTTGGCTATAGAATTTCCATATTGGAAAGACTTAAGGGCAGTAATGTTTGGAAAGTTGTTTCTGCCTTATCTAAGATTGCTAAAATATTTGTTTTCCATACCAAAGAAGGTCTGGTGGTGGTAAAGAAGTTAGGGAGAGGGGATTGTGGGATAAATGTACGCTCCGAAAGAGAAATAATCAAGGGAGGGAAATTCCCCAGCAAGACCTGTGAAAGAAGGAGTTTTTAGAGCATACTCAGTAGATCCTCAGTCAGTCAGTAAGCAAACATTTACGGAATGTTGACTATATGCTTAAAGTTGCTATAAAGAATACTTCAGTGAACTATGATACCAGAAGTGAGAGTGTTCATCAGTTAAGGGTCACAAACTCAAACGTCTAAGGAGCCAGGTAGGTAAACTAAATGGGTGAAGTGAGTTATGTATAAAACACTAGCGAGTGAAGAGGGTGGAGTTGAACTGAGAGTACATGCCTCATGAAAACGGGGACCCCAGGCCCAGCACCAGCCATTGTTTAACAAGAGGGAATGCAAGCTCACCAAACAAGCAAATACAAGGTCAAACAAAGGGCCCCCAAACCCTGCCAAACCAAACATATTTTGCAGGTTGCGTTTAGCTCAAGAGCCACTAGTTTGCCACCTCTGAATGAGATGCCTCCTATATTTAAAAAAATACACACTACCATAAAATATCAATAATTTGGACAAAATTTCCAGTTTTTATTAGTAAGAATGATCATGGGTAGGGGAATTAGTTTTATTGTTTTTAGTGAAAAACTAACACAAAGTAGCCAAATTCGTTTCTAAGTAGGAAGTTTTACTAAATAGAGGAAGACACTTATAAAAAAAAGACACTTATAAAATATTTTTAAATATTTTTTCTTCTAAGTAATTTAAATCCAGCTTATAGCAGTAATCTTTCTGACGAGCCAATGCAAAGGTAAACTCAGTCTTATTTTGTTCAAGTGATGTTACTCAAAGCTCATGAAAAAGAAGCTCTAATTTAGTAACATAAATCTCAACTCAGAGTTTGCAATATTGAAATGTTTAAATATCCCAGATAAGAAGTAGAAAGTTCTAACTGGTGACTCAGTTACAGTTTTGTAAATGGCACATTTTGAAACTGTAGCTGGTTGATTGAATGAGCTGGATTTAATGGGGTACAAATGGGAATAGCATTATTTTCTTCCATCCTTATCTTGAAACATAGACTCTTACTGTATCACCTTGCCCTGGCAGGGAGTCCTCCTGGGTTAGTGCTCATTAGGATGGCTCCAGATAAGTTAACTCCTATGGCCCGCGGGAAATTCACACAGACATGCTGCCCTGGACAGTGATTGTGTAACTGCAGCCTTGACCTATTGTCATAGGTTCCTCCAGCCATGGCCTGCTTGTCCATTAAACATGGCAGGCACAGTTCCCAGGGTCCATAGGACTTTTAGGGACCACAAAAGTGTTTTCATTTCTTTTAAAATCTGAAAAAAATTTGACTTTTAGGGTCATAGAAAATGTTTTAACTTTTTTCTCGTATCAGACAAAAATTGCACCTTTAAATAAAGCCTATTTCAACTAGAAAGGTGTATATAACCAGTGTTAATTTGGAAAAAGAAAATTGAAAGGTTAACTGCTTTTCACAGATATTTCATACACATATCCAGATGTGTATTCTGGAACAGCTTTTTTTATTCTGTCACTAGGTCTATCTTACTCTAACAAGTACATGCTATTGTTGTTAGGTGCTGTCAAGTCAGTTCTGACTCATAGTGACCCTATGTACAACAGAACGAAACACTGCCTGGCCCTACGCCATCCTCACAATTGTTGCTATGTTTAAGCCCATTGTTGCAGCCACTGTGTCAATCCTCCTTATTGAGGGTCTTCTGCTTTTTTGCTGACCCTCTATTTTACCAAGCATGATGTCCTTCTTCAGGGACTGGTCCCCTCTGATAACATGTCCAAAGTATGTAAGACGAAGTCTAGCCAACCTTTCTTCTAAGGAACATTCTGGCTGTACTTCTTCCAACAGATTTCTTTGTTCTTCTGGCAGTCCATAATATACTCAATACTCTTTGCCAACACCATCTAAAGCATTGATTCTTCTTCGGTCTTCCTTATTCATTGTCTAGCTTTCGCATACATATGAGGCAATTGAAAATACCATGGCTTGGGTCAGGTACACCTTAGTCCTCAAAGTGACATCTTTGCTTTTTAACACTTTAAGAGGTCTTTTGCAGAAGATTTGCCCAATGTAATGTGTTGTTTTATTTCTTGCTTCTATGGGCATTGGTTGTGGATTCAAGTAAAATGAAATCCTTGACAACTTCAATACTTTCTCCGTTTACCATGATGCAGCTTATTGGTCTAGTTGTGAGGATTTTTGTTTTCTTTATATTGAGATGTAATCCATACTGAAGGCTGTAGTTTTTGATCTTCATCAGTAAGTGCTTCAAGTCCTCTTCACTTTCAGCAAGCAAGGTTGTGTCATCGGCATATCACAGGTTGTTAATGAGTTTTCTTCTAATCCTACTGCCATGTTCTTCATATAGTCCAGCTTCTTGGGTTATTTGCTCAGCACACAGATTGAATAAATATGGTGAAAGGATACAACCCTGATGCACACCTTTCCTAATTTTAAACCATGCAGTATCCCCTTATTCTGTTAAGTACCTAATAGAGTGTTGTAAAAAAATCAAACACTTTGTGAGAAATCTATCATCATAATATTAACTAGTATTTCTATAGCATTTCACATGTTTGGAGTGTTTTCATGAGATAGAAAATGTTTTGTTATATATTTCACCGCAATTAAGAGGTTAAAAAAAAAAAAAGAGTGCTTTCACGTATATCTTACAGTGAGGCACTTGGTCTGGAGCTTGGTCTTGAGCCAAGGTCCTCTACACTATACTCCCTATGCAGGGTGTCTTGCTGAGCCTCACCTGTAAACATCACCCACAGCAGGGTGGAACCAGACTCAAAGTCTCATGTAAAATGCTGGCCCACATGTTCATTCCATAAAAAAAATAAAATGCAGATAACAATACTTTCAACATAGAAGGCTCCCAATAAGTATTTGAATATCCTTAAGGGAGAAATGCCTGCTTGACAATAAACACTTCCAAGTCCCACAGAAAAGAAATGCATTAATTCTGGGAAATTCCCTCTGAATTTTTCCCTGGTACCCCTGAGATCTTCAATTATATTACTTTTGAAAAAGAAACATGTTCTAACACTTTCTTTCTTCAAAATGGGAAAAATCACTACTCTCAAAAAACTCTGCCTGAATAACAGCATACTTCATATCAGTTTTCTCTCCTGTGGTTACATGAATTCGTGAACTCTGATGTGAAGAGGGAAGCAGGATAATCAGATGGAAGGTAAAGAGATGGCCGCTCAGGGGCACATATGTTACATGATTGGGGTTGTTTACTGAATGGAAGATGGCTCTAGAGACCATTAAGGCAGTCCATGGGAATTGTGGGATTGCTAAAGAAGAGGGGCCATTAAACAAGCGGTGTCCTGGCTTCTCTCCCCTTGGAGGTGGGGGTAGTTGACAGGGAGTGAGGGTAGGGGACAAAGAAGTCATTTATATTTTCTTCTTTATGATGTAAGAAGTGAGCCCTGGTGGCGCAGTGGTTAACCAAAAGTTCAGTGGTTTGAACCCACCATCTGCTCCATGGGAGAAAGATATGACAATCTGCTTTTGTAAAGATTACATCCTTGGAAACCCTATGGGGCAGTTCTACACTGTCCTATAGGGC